GGTGGATATGTTGTCCAGTGTCATGGGACTCCCTAAATGTTACCATGCATGTATAAACCACAACTAGCTTCTGTAGAGCTTTGAAGCCGTAGACCTCAAAGTGCTTTACAAAGGTCAATATAATTATCCCCATTTTACACATGGGGAAACGGAGGCACAGAAAGGTGAAGATTTGCCCAAGGAGTAGCCTGTCTCATGGCAGAAGCAATAGGGGTGGCTGATAAAGATCTTTACTTGAAGTTCTCACCGAATACAGAACGGTTATAATACAACCAGTTTGCCTAGTTTGGTAGCTTATTGCACAGACCATAGGATTGCTGACGGAGGGTTCCTCTCCTACACAGGACATGCAGAGCAGAGTGTGTAAAATGTTTGCACGGCTTGCTGGAGACTCTTGGATTAGAAGAGCATACGAAGGCTGAATGGCTCCACGTGGGGTCTAAATGGGGGCTTACATGGGTGTTGTGTGGTGTGGAAGGGCAAAGGACAGGGTTAGAAACTAATCTACCCCCAAAGGAGACTGAAATCCCCTGTCCTTACCAGCCAGTGGAATGCCTGATTGCAGTGAAAATGATAGCTGACCTGTAGAAGAGGAGGGTAGAAGAGGGATTTAGTTTGTAGGCAGAGAGCAGTCTATTCCTTAAGTGGATGCACCTGGACATTTTGCCAAGACAGTGGTTGCTTTGGGGGACAATACACACTGGGGACTGCTCTTTGGACTCTCGTGGTGAAGGAGGACTTTCAATGCTCTGGCCATACTGAGCCCACAGAAGAGACCTAGTAGAAGAAAGAGAGCTGACACCTAGCCATCGCCATTTAGGCTATGGCTCAAAATATGGGGCTGCCCATGGACAATTCCTATGTCATTTCACCCGTTTCTTTAATCCGGTCTCAGTAGCTTGAAATACAGCCAGGCTAGAGCCTAGCTCAGGATTAACAGCACACCAGTGGGGCAGGCAGAGCAACTCACGTTCAGAGCTTTGTCTTGGTGGGAAGGAACCAGCGAGGGAAAACAGCATTGTGTTTTCTCAAGCTAGAGAGAAGGACAACCTGGCTGCAGCAATTGCATGGACCAGCGCTCCTGTGAACAAGCACAGTTAGCAGACAGACATCTCTGCCCTTTCCCGTTCTCTAGCACAAGGGCACATGCAGACTGTATGAGTTATGCCCCCACCTATGCCCCTGCTGTGGCTTCCACACCATGTCAACCCTGATTCAGCTAGGGCCAGGGAATTAACAGCAAAGGGGTCAACAGCATAGAGATTGTAGCAGACATTTGCTTTGTCCTGCTGTATCTCTCATCATATCGCTGGTCTCTCATTTTTGCTCTAGTTCTGATGTTACTGGGCTGAGTCGGGGCTCCCCCAGTATTTCTGTTTCTACTGTGGCAGCGTGCTGTTGAACACACTTCCTTTACTGCTCAGGAGACAATGTCTTGAAGTAAAGCTAATTTTTCTGTCAGCTTGGGGGCAGCTAACCTGGGCTATAACCCGGTGGTTGGAGAGTCCTTCTACTTCAAAGTTTGGGATTTCTTCTCTTTTTGAGCCTTGTTCATGGTCCTGTGGCTCTAGTTAGAGAAGATGGCCAGAACAATCTCAGCAAAAGCCTCTGCACTATTAATTACAGTCTAGTACTTCTGCCGTGAGAGAGGAAACCTCCACCTCAGATTCACCATGGGGGCTTCTTCCCTTCTGGGTACCCCATTGCCATATGATCTGGGTGCTTCACAGATATTTATGTTATCTTATAGAATAAATGTGTCTAATACTTCCCCATGTTTCACCGATGGGAAAGAGAGACCCAGCAAGAATCAACAGAACTTTTTTCTGAATTGTGAAATACTGCCACTGATGTAGGTAATTTAAACATTGGATTAAAGGACCTCTTCCCCCCAGGAGAGCAGTATTCTCCACCATATGATGAATGTTTTGGAAAGCAATGTCAGAGTAAGCCTGTGAGGGATTCTAGGTGGAAGGTAGGGCTGGGAGTGAGATGATCCTATTACCAGACAGGCCTTGTGGGTGTTATGTTCAAACACAGTGTTTGGGTAGGAAGGCACTGTCATCTCCCCTCTTCATCACAGAGCTCCCACTACCTCCAGACCTCTCACACTGAGATGCTACCAGACGCTCACTGGCCCATGCCATAGTGTATCCCTTTTACCTATAGCATCTGCACAGAGATATACAAAAAAAGTGGCAGTTTACTGTCTCGGAGAGTTTGCCCTTGGCCTGCATAAGCAGATGGGTATTTATCCAGCAAGCTAGGCAGGGGTGTGGCTATGGTCAGAGAAGCCCCTTCCTGATTATAGAGCAGCTGCCTCCCAAACACAGTCTGCAGCACCCTGCCAGTCTCCCCTGCTGCAGGGGCTTCTTAAAGTCTGCACCTGCAGTCCAAAGGTCCTTGAAAACATTCCCCTCCTGGAGGTCCCAGTTTATTTAGTCCCTACACAATCTGGCCCTCGAGGCCCCAGCCCCAGTTCAGTGTCTCTCTCCCCTTAGGTAGGGATTCCCCAGCCCTCATTCCCAGAATTGGGTCCCAATTGAATCACCACTGCCAGCTTTACCTGCCTGGAGCTCAGTCTTCAGGCTCTGACTTCCAAATTCCCCTAGCATCAGGGTCTTCTTCCTACCTCAACAAGCTACTTCCAGCCCTCCTAGCTGGGACAGCTCCTCCAAGCTCAGGGCCTGCCTTGCAAGAACTTTTCCTCACTACCTATTACAGCTTCCGAGCTTGCAGCTTCCTGCTGCCCTTTATAGGGGACACTTGTCCTCCAGCAGAGCCCATCAAGGCTGTTAATGGGCACAGGTGGGCTGGAGCAGTTCCTTCTTAAAGGGCTGGGTCCACACTGTGCCTTGCACCTGATTCACAGGACTCAGGCTGCATCACATACACACACTGCAGCTGAGGGGCAGGGCTCGGCTCGCATCCATAGAAAGACTCTTATCTCCAGGACACTGGGATAGAGGCTAACATGACAGAACTGTGGCCTGGCAGGAGAATTCTTTCCTGCAGCACAAAATGGGGGGCATTGTCTCCAGGCTCATCACCCTTGGTGACAGCTGATATATCTCCTGACATGGATATGCCTCCATCTATATAGGGCAGGAAACTATCACCCTTCCCTCTGCAGCATTAAACCCATATTCGGCGGAGAGGGGGATGTCACTGTGGCCACTTCACTGGAGAAGGATCCAAATGTTCATCTTCTCACCCTCCTTGGTGCTATGCAATAGACACTGCTGGCCTTAGAACAGCTCAGGCTTCTGGCCCCTGGAGCTGATCGGTGACCCCAAGCATCACCGACTGTAACACAAACATCCTTGCACTGGCTACCCAACTCCATCTGCTCCTGGCTGGCTCAACACTGACTCCACTTTAAAAGAGCTTTGTCCCAGATGTACCAAGTGTTGTCCAAAGGGACCCCTGTGGAAACCCATCCCTTCCCCTGCTACAGAACTAGGAAGATAGTTTCCTCATCATCACCTTTAGCCACCCTAGGAGAAAACAGCTGCTGGATCTTCTGTGAAGTCTCTGAATTAGCTACTGTATGTGTAGGGGACAAAAGAGGTAGAACAAGAGGCCAGTTTCTTCTTTGCATTGAGAAGGAAGCAGCAATTTAAAGGCAAAGCAGGAAGGATTTAATTCCCACACCTTCCAAATGTCCCACACATTCAGACAGCTGCAGCTCAACGCATTCCCAGAGCAAGAGAGGGAAATGCCCTGGGTTCTTCTGAGGAAGATATGGAGCTCCTGTCCTCCTCCTTTAGGGTCTCCATCAACAAAAGCTGACTAAAGGATGGCCAAAAACAAATCATAGAAGATTAGGGTTGGAAGAAACCTCAGGAGGTCATCTAGTCCAACCCCCTGCTCAAAGCAGGACCAACCCCAACTAAATCATCCCAGTCAAGGCTTTGTCAAGCCAGGCATTAAAAAACCCCCACCTCCCTAGGTAACCCATTCCAGTGCTTCACCACCCTCCTAGTGAAATAGGTTTTCCTAATGTCCAACCTAGACCTCCCCCACTGCAACTTGAGACCATTGCTTCTTGTTCTGTCATCTGCCACCACTGAGAACAGCCGAGCTCCATCTTCTTTGGAACCCCCCCTTCAGGTAGTTGAAGGTTGTTATCAAATCCCCCCTCACTCTTCTCTTCTGCAGACTAAATAAGCCCAGTTCCCTCAGCCTCTCCTCATAAGTCATGTGTCCCAGCCCCCTAATCATTCTCTTTTTGCCCTCCGCTGGACTGTCTCCAATTTGTCCACATCCTTTCTGTAGTGGGGGACTCAATACTGGACACAATACTCCAGATGTGGCCTCATCAGTGCCGAATGGATGGGAATAATCACTTCCCTCAATCTGCTGGCAATGCTCCTACTAATCTCCACTGCTGGGACTCAGAAGACTTCTGTGATGCTTAATGCAAAACTAGCCCAGCAAGAGAGCTCTAAGCACTAGCCTTCATAAATTCCTCCATCCTTCTCCCCAGGAAAGAAGCTGTACTGGTGGAACCCCGGCGCCCTTCTCCTACTCAGGAAGGTACTGCAATAGTACACAATAGTGTAGGACAGGAAGTAAAGAGGAATAGTACATCCAATTGAAACTGTAAGTCAAATTTAGGAAATCAGAAATGGAATTTGCCCAGGACCCTGCGGTTCATAATGCTACTCTTGTAAAAATGATTGCAAGTGGTCAGTTTTATTCTTCCAGCAGCACAGTGCCCTCAAACACCATCTTGGGACCTCAGTTAATACTAACTCCAAAAACAGGATGCCACCTACAACACTGTAGAAATTTTTTGGTGGTCTCCCATCCAAGTACCAATCCAGACCAACGTGCTTAGCTTGTGAAATCTGACAGCATCCCTGCAGAAGGTGGTATGGGTGCAGGAAAAATAGATACAGCTACTTGAACACTGACAAGAGGCAGTCTGATGTATGACATTTATACCAGGCATTTGTTAATTATTATCGTGCAAAGCAATCAAGTTTCATACTTACTTGCCATTCCCGTATTTTATTCGGATGTCCTTGCTCTTCTTCAGTTCTTTGCCATCTTTATACCACTTGTAGGAGGGCTGGGGATTCCCTGCAGTAGCCTCACATTTCAGTGAAATTTTTTCCCCTACGTGAACATTTGGGCTCTTCAGTTTCTTCAGTTTTGGAGGAACAGCTGTGAAAAGAGAAATCAGACCAGTGTGAAAACCTGCCTCTAAGGGGCACAGGGCAAGGGAAGTTATACAGTCGCGTTTCCCTCTGCTGGGGCTCTAAGAGAAGCATCTGATCTCCAGCTGCATTTACTCTATAGTGACTCAGAGGTTGGATCCTTGTCTAAATACTTATTGTTAGCATCATTATGTCTTAAAAAAAGCAAATAGGTGGATTGTCACAGCTGAATATGCTGGGAAGGAAGCAGGTCCCTGACTTCAGATGAAGGGCGGGCTCACCAGTTTCCATCTTTGCCCCACATCTGCTGCAGATTTCCAGACCAATAGCTCCCGTTTGTCTCATGCACAAAGGCAGGCTCTGTGCATCTCCAGGTGCAAAAAAGAGATGAGGTTTTATTCTGCTTCCCAGACCGGCAAGCCAGGCTGAACACAGCGCAGCGGGAGCTCACGGTGGATTTTTCTTATTCTGCCATTGCTGCTGCTGCTGCTAACCTTTTTGCTATGACATCTTCTTTTACCTTTGCTGCTGCTGACAGACACACTGTTGATCTCACAACCTCTGCTGCTCAGAGTTGTACTATTTGACTACTGAAGAAGGGAATGGGGGTAGGGGGTCATTCTCTTCCCCTCTAGCTGCATGCACTGAAGATTTCCTGGTGCTCATGTGCCTTCCTGTACAATCTGGGGGTGTACTGTGCATTAGCTCTTCTGCTGCTAAGAGCGGAAGGCTGAAACATGTCCTAGCGGGGGAAACAAATGCTGGTACAAGTGGTCACTCTGCTATTCGACACTACAGCCAAACAGGGCTCCTACACTGAAAACTCTACCTATGCAAACAGCTAAAGAGGGAGAGGCATCAGTTCCTGGGGCCACAGGTGGAGGCATGACAGAATAGAGACGACTGGGAAAGAGCTTTACAAATCCCAAGAAGTGGAACACCTGACAGGTCGACTTCTAGTATGAGACCTGCCTCTGAGTGTGACCTTTACTGGATGCTTCAGAAAAGGGAAATTAACTATGCATCTGGAAAATTGGATAAGGTTGTACCATTCACCTTTAACAAGCCACAGCCAGGGATTATATTATGCCCTAAGCATGAGGATCAGCAACCTTTGCAATTTTTGTCTTAACAGTTGTAACTGCAGTCTGTTCTCTTTGAACATGTATTATTTTAAATCTTACCTTTTAAAAGAAAGTCTTAATAAGTTATATTTGTCTTAACATCTTGCAGCAGTGAGTTCTACTTGTTAATTATATGTTGCAGATAAAGTATTTTCACTATGCAATATACATTGGTTGCCTTTTAATTTCACTGAGTGGTCTATCCTTGTGCTATGGGACAGCAATAAGAGATAGAAAATCAGATGGGCTTCATTATACCAGTTACTCCTGGGGGAATTTTGCATCACTGCATGTGTGCAGAATTCATGGCCCCCACAGATTTGTTTGCTTCCCCACAGAAAAATGACTTCTGATGAAGAAGCAAAGGGAAGCCGCAAGAACGGTCATGCGCCCCTCCCCAACAGTGCAGGCAGGTTGATTTGGGCGCCCGGAGCAGCTGGTAGAGAGGTAAATCACTGTCGGGGTGGGGCTGGGCAGTTGTGCGAGTGAGAGACACTCTGTCCCTCTTGCTCACTATTGCAGCACGCTTGGTGTGGAGGGGCAGGGCTTTGGGGTGTTTCTGAGGAGATAGGATTGGGGCAGGTTCTGTCCCCGCAGGCAGAGGAGAATGTAGCAGCCTGCCTGATTAGTGAATTGTTCCCATTGTTCTTAGTGAATTCCCCCAGCAGTATAAAACAGGTGTAAAAATGTTAAGGCTCCTTTACATTGCCAGAGTGGTGTGAAGGAGCCTTATTGTAAAGGACAGTATGGCCTTACACATGCTTATGTTGCTTTAGGGATTAGAACTGGTCTAAATTTTTGGACTGAAAAAATTTCCTATCAAAATGTGCTCCATGAACTGTTTGCTACTGACCTTTCTGGAGATGGTCAGTAGCCAATATAAATTGTGAGTTTGAGTCCCCAGCCCTCACTTGCTCTTCAGTTGCCTATGACGTGATACTGAGCATATGGCTGCATATATTTGTTGACTAATAACTAGAAGTAAAGGGTCAATTCTAGCCACATTACTATTAGACAGAGGGGATTTGGGGATTTCCTCCAATGCTCCCCACTCCCATTCTCCACCCATTGTATTGTAGTTTAAATAAATTAACAAAATAATTGAAACCAGCATGATTATATTGTGTTGTTTTGACAAATAAGCAAAATTTTGCAAAATTTTAAAATGTTGTGTGCAGAATTTTTTATTTTTTGGGCACAGAATTCCCCCAGGAGTAGCCAGTCATCATTTTACAGACCTCTGTTATATTTCCCCTCTTTCATCTTGACAAGCTAAATAATCCTAGACTGTTGGGTTTTTTAAATACTTTCTTTATTGAAGGTTATTATATACAAATGAAAACAGGCAGAGTAACAACAACACTAACCAAGACATATGCTGAATGTACAGAAAAGTTTAAAGATTCTCTTGGAATTCACAGTTTAAAATCTCACCTGAATGCATGGGGAAGGATGTTTTGTGTTTGTTTTATGCGTGCATGCATCAAACAGCTGAATCCATCTTGGTCAAACCTCAAAAAACCTTCAACTATGGGTGGAGCTGGAACACATCAGCCTAAAGTGAATTAGTTGGACAAAGCAGCTGAAAACGTGAAACAGACTGTCTCTGGAGATTGGAGGCAACAACAGAGCTGCCAGCTACCAGTGGAGTTGGAGCAAGGAAAAAGACAGCAAGGCAGGTAGTGGACCAAATCAGCTGGTGTAAATCTGCATAGCTCCACTGTAGTCAATGCAGATAGTTGGTGTAAATCAGTTTGAAGAGTTGGTCCAGTACATCCAGGGGAGCAAGAAAACATGTGCAGGAGGAAAGGAAGGGAAACGGAGCAGGTGGCAAAAGGTCTATATACACTGCACACTCCTTTCGGTGGCACGTAGAGTACATACATGACATGCCCCCTAGCATGGGTGTAAATAGCAGTGTAGACGGTGAGGCACTGCTTAGGCAAGTAGAGACATGCCAGAACCCTCTGGGTAAGGACCTGGGTATGGACCCTATGCAGCTCTGTACATGCCCAAGCAGCACCTCCCATGTCTACCCTGCTATTTTTAGCAATGCAGCATCCAGCTCCAGTGGTGAGGAAAGTCTCTGGCAGTGGGGAGGCAGCAGGGAAAGGCTCTGAGAGCTCCCTGCTGCTGAGGCCTTTCTCTGACACAGGTAACTACATGCTGCAGTAGGGGTGCAGCCTGCTTTTCACTGCAGCACGCAGCTACATATACCCCATACGCTGCCGCAGGACCTGCGCAGTGTAGCTGTAGACAAAGAAACGTGTGCAGTGGAAGAGAGAGAGAGAGAGGACCAGTGCAGCTGGGAGGGGGGATACACAGAGAGCTGTGGAGCAGGCAGTGCATTAATGCAATAAGTGTTCTGTGCTTTTTGAAGAAAGAGAGAACAAAATGCAAGAAATACTTCCCTAGCATTATTTCTGCATGTCAGCAATCGTGGTAGTGGTCATCGGGAAGTTATGAAATCATATGAATGGCAGTGGAGGTCTAACACTCAGTTAAGAGGTGGTTTACAGAATGAAAAGGTTTTAGACACCTGTCTTACAATTCACTGCCTTCCATTCAGAGAAGTGAAGGATCCTTTTGAGAAAAGGGACGGCGCCAGAGGAGAGGGGGTGCACCTGAGCTGCTCAGAGGAAGGGCTCCAGGAATGGCCTCTCCTCAAGTGTGGCAGGCACTGTGACTCTGGCTACATTCATCTCAAGCCTGGGAAAAGCCCAAAGAGCGTGGATGATAGAGGAGTGTGACGGGGCTATGGAGATGCAGGACAACTAGAAATGGGGCAAATGCCCCCTCATGTTTCTCAAACGTAGGGGTTCCAGTAAACTGGAACTTGGATCCTGGGCACCTCTAGTTTTGCAAAGTCAAAAAACCTTCTGTTTTACTGATCTTTGCTTTGAAGTGAATCCTACACCAAAAAGCATGCATGCATGTTAAAGGGAAATAGCTCTGTTCTCTCCCCAGAACTCAGGTACATAGAGAACTTGCACTGTGAAAGGTTATTGTGAAAAATAGGCTTATCAAATGTGTTTGTGTCTGTGTGTGTACAGATTCATAGGGATTAAGGCCAGAAGGGATCATTATCATCATCCAATCTGATGCCCTGCATCACATAGGCCAAAGAATCTCAAACAGTCATTTCTGCATCAAGCCGATAACATCTCTTAGAGATGTAGTGTCTCTTTTAGAAAGCTATCCAGTCTTGATTTAAAGAATGCAAATGATAGGGAATCCAACATCTCTAGGGAAGGTGTTCCACTGGTTAATTAACCTCATTATTAAAAGTGTGACCCTTATTTCTAGTCTGAATTTGTCTAGCTTCAGCTTCCAACCATTGGTTTTCGTTAAATCTTTCTCTACCAGATTAAAGAGCCATCTACCATCAGAAATCTCTTCCCCATGTAGTTACTTTTAGACCATGATCAATTCACTTCTTAGTTTTCTCTTGGATAAAATAAATAGATTGAGATTCTTTGGTCTCTCACTTAGCAGGATTATTAGTTTACATCATAACTGCCTCCATTAAATTACAGTAATTTATAGCTTTGACGTCAGCCTCGTTCCCATTTTTTGAACCAATGTACTTTATGAAATTCCACTTACAGCTGAAGAAGTTATTGGGAACAGTATGAAGTATGTTCGTATTTAAGTTGTGCTCCCCTTCTTTAATGCTTTGAACGGGGTTTTTTCCCCTGCACCGATTGGGATGGTCAAACCCATTAACTTCATGCCATATGAAAATGAGCAGTGACAAACATTTAAGGAGACGATGGAGGCAAGTTAAATGTCCCCAAGTCCCAAGGAAAAATAAACAAATCTGTGTTCCTCAGTCACTAGGTGACAATATCAAGTACAAATGGAAGAGCAGAATAACACTGCT